CTGGCGCGAATGACCGGGGGGGGAGCACACCCCCGTGGCCCTGTCCCCCCGCTCCCACAAGGCTTGTGCTTGCAGGGGCCGACGCGCCCGGGGAGCCGGAGGCACTGGTGAGGAAGGTGCAGGAGTACGCCCAGAAAGCCACGGCCATGGCCAAGACCGCCTTCAGCGTGGTGCAGGAGTCGGAGGTGGCTCAGCAGGCCAGGTGCCCCCGCGCCCCCCTGCCCGTCCGGGCACCCGCCCCCCCGCGGCCCACGGGGGAGCCCGGCCGGTGCCCTGCTCTGAGCCCCCTCCCCTTGCAGGCGATGGCTGGCGGACAACACCGACCGGGCGAAGCAGCGTCTGGCCTGGCTGAAGGAGCAGATAGCAGAGCTCTGGAAGCAGATGCCGGCCGCGTAGCCCTGCCGGGGGCTGGCTGGGGGCTGGCCGGGCTGGGGTCCCCCCAGCTCCCTACCCACTGTCGCGGTTCTTGCAATAAAGTGGCGCTGAAGCAGACGGCTGTGGCGGCGTCACTTGGGGGGGCGGCGAGGAGGAGCGTGCACTGCGGGGTGAGGAAGGGCTGGGACAGACGCGGAGGTCGTCCAGGAGGGCGATGAAGCGGGTCTTGAGGTTCTCGGCGTAGGGGGTGAGGCGCTCCTTGAAGTCCTGCACCAGGGGCGTCACCTTCTCGCGCAGGTTGCTGAGCTGCTCCACCACCTTGGCCTGGTACTCGGCGGCCTGGGGGATGCCCTTCTCCCGGATCTCCTCCAGCTTCTGGCTCAGCTTCTGCCGCAGCTCGCTGCTGTAGGGCGCCAGGTTCTTGCGCAGCTCCTCCACGTGCCCGCGCAGGCGGTCCCGCACCTCCTCGGCCACCGGGGTCAGCTTCTCCTGCATCAGCTCCACCTTCTGCTTGGTGAGCTCCTTCAGCTCTTGGGCCACGGGCGCCAGGCGCTGGCGGTACTGCTCCAGCTCCTCTGTCCACTTGGTGGAGAACTGGTCCAGGAAGGGACGGATCTTCTCCTTCACCTCCTCCAGGTCCTTGGTCAGCTCCTGGCGCAGGGACTCCGTGTCCTTCAGCCACATCTCCCGCACCTCCTTGTAGTAGGGGGCCATGTCCTCCCGCAGCTTGGCAGCGGCTGCGCTCAGCGTGTCCAGGTTGTCGGCCAGCTTCAGGCTGCGGGGAGCGGAGGGAGGTCACGCACGGCGCCCGGGGACCCCCCCGCCAGCCCCCCGCCACG